ATAATCTTTTTCATACTTTTGAGAAGTTGATATCTAAACTATGAGCCATGATATAATAGCTTTCATTCAATAATCAATACCAAAAAAAAAAAAAAAACCCTCACTGCCGTCTAGTCATATCTGACTCAAAGCGACCCCTCCTTTGGGTTTCTGAGGTGGTATCACTATGAAAGTAGATTGCCCAACCTTCCTTCTGAAATAATTCAATGAGTAGACACTATTCTAGGCATGAGGATATGTCAGTGAAAAGACAGAGAAATTATATGGAATGATGCTCAATCTTTGTTTTCTCTACTGTCTGAATTCTAGTCTCCTCTTTCTAGTTGTTATTGGAATAGCAAATTCAAGTGAGACAATTGCCATTTCAGTAAGATCCGTTCTACCTCCTGTACTCATGAGTTCCATCAGCATTATGAATATGTGAGCTACTTCCAAGCTACATAAGCTACATCCAACCCCTTTACTAAATGGATGACTAAATCTTGATCATACTGGTGGTATAGTGGGTGGCTGCTAACCAGAAGGTTGGAGTTCAAACCCACCAGCTGCTCCAATTTACTTTTGTAAAGATTTACACCCTTGGAAACTCAATGGGAATCACTGAGTCAGAATTAATTCCACAGTTTGTTTTATTTTTTATACTATTTAAGGAATATGTCTTAACTATGAATTGTCTCCTGTATTCCTACTTCCTCTGCCTTTATCTAGACCTTACTTAGTAGTCATTTAACTGTAGAAAACAACCTTTCAACTGAATTCATTGATATTTCCAGTTGCTAAGGAGTTTACTTCACTCATGAAGAACCCATACGGCTCAGAGTAGTTACTCCATAGCGTTTGCGATGGCTGATTTTTAAGAAGTAAACCACCAGGATGGATTAGAGCTGCCGTCTGTCACTTAGCATCCAAACACAATGCCCATTTACAATAACCAAGGGTTAGCCTGTCTTAATTCCAGACCATCTTTTTTAACATTACTGTCATTGTGGAAGGGAATGCTTCTTCCATACTCCTGATGCTTCCATATGAGGAATGATCACTAACATAAGTATCTCTCTATACCACTTACCTCCAAAAAAATGAAACCAATTATTCAGGTTAATTAATATAGAAGAAGAAAGTAGACATGCCTAATTTATCCTTATCATGCCTGTAGCTTGGGAGTCTTCTACTTCAGCACAGGTTCTCTCTCTTCCCTCATACTAAAAATCTCCCTAGGGTAGCGAGCTTTCCATGGGGGTCCTACCATCCTAGATCATGTCCTGTGATTGGGGAATTTGCTTAATTTAGTCAGTCAATATTAGAAAATACACTGGTCCACTGATACGAAACACCCTAGAAAGTAATTTCTTGGTTTCTAACTCCTAAGTATTGGAAGAACATTACAAATGGTTCAAAATCTAGGCAGAATGGAAGAGTCAACATCCATCAGAGTTAACTCATTGAAAAATAAATATTTCATCCACATTTAAAATTCCCCATTTTTCACCTGGATGTTTACAGGATAAAATAAGAAATCCCAAGTTTGGCATAGATACCTTTTGACTCCACACAAAGTTACAGTCAAATTCCCTATCATTTTATCTCTACCCACTACCCACCCACCTTTACATTACCACACACCATCTAGTCCAAATAAACAGAATTTCTCAAAATTTTCTGGTCATTCACATGAGGTCATTTCCTCAACTTTGTGTTTGACATTCCCTCTGGCAGAGAAACTCCTATTCAAGCTCTAAAACTGAGTTTAAATGTGATATGGAATTAATACAGTATGTTGCAATGTCTGTACTTGTATGTCTGTTGTTTCTATTTGTTCCATGAAGAATAAAGACTTTATTTACTCATGTTTGTATCCCTAGTGCTTGGGCAGTACCTAAAATATCTGTAAGTGTTCACTGAATGGAGACAATGAACAGTAGAAATCACAAAATAAAAAGTTTTATCTTACATATCAAAATGTAAAATACAGACTTGCATATATGAAGATGAGAACACGCATAAAATAAGCAGATTGATGACAACCTTCCAGACACATAATTGTCTATTTTAAAGATTGTTTCAAGTGACTGTAAGATGCCTCTTTAATCTAATGTGGTGTTGAGTAAACTGCATCATCTCCTTGTGGCTCTCTTCCTATCCTACCTAGAAACCCTTCTACACATCGTTCAGACTTCAGCTTTTTCAAGCCACTTCCTCTAGGAAGTTTTCCTTGAACCCCTAAGACTCTATGTTCTGTGTTTCCCTAGCACTCAAAATTCTCTCAGCAGAATAGAAGACTTGTGTATGTACAAGGAGACAGTTCAGAGGGCAGGAGTGCATGGGAAGGAAGGACACAGGGAAGAGGTAACTATGGGGAGGAAACGGGTGGGGAGGTATCACATTGTGGGAAATTGCAGTCAATGTCATGAGACAAAGTGTATGTGAGCTGTTGTATGGAAAATGAATTTGCTCTGTAAACTTTCACCTAAATCACAAAAAAACAAAAAACAAACAAACTAAAAAAACTTCTTCCAGCATAATTTATTATAATTCTGGGTCTTCTCTGTGAAATTGGGCTTTCTTTGAGGCAAGGTTTGCTTTTGCTTTTCACCATTTTATCTCTAGAACCTAGCTCAGTCTGGAATAGCAGGTCATTAGAAATTATTAGTTAAACAAATCTGTAAAATTAGGAGACTAGAATATATGATCTTTATCGGTACCATTTGGAAATAATAAAGGGCACCTCAAAGCAAATTATCGCAAAATATTCATATGCAACACTGATTGACCACTTAATTTCTCAATCTATCTCCTCCATTCCCAGTTATATTGATCATTAGGAAGCTTCTTCCTCTAAAGTTTCGGCCATCAATCAAAACAGTCTCTTATTTAGTAATAAAGTGAAGTCTTCTTTAGTCTCTTCTCTGAAACTTTATGGCAAATATTTCTGTTCATAGAAAATGCATACAACAGTGAAAATTTGATGAAGTATGACAGTTTCTCAACTCAATAATACATTATTTCCCTTTCTTTCTCTTTCTCTCTCTCTCCCTCTTCCCCCACCCCCTTTCTCTCTTAACATTTTAATGTGATTTAGGTGAAAGTTTTCAGAACAATTTAGTTTTCCATTCCAAAATTCATACACAATTTATTTAAACCTCTTTCTTTTTAGTAAAACAGAAGAGGAATTACGCAAGCTGAAGGCCACAGAAAGTGGACAATTGTTTAAAGAAATTTTTACTGAATCTCTAAATGCTATCAGTAACTTCTGGATGAAATGTTTTACTGTTTGAAAAACAGAATGTGATGATAACAAAAATAATGGCAGATTATAAAATGTTTCATTATTCTCCCTTCTTTCAGAGAATTATCAAATATACATGGTGGTTATTGTGTGTCTTGGAGTCAATTCCAACTCACAGTGACCCTACACAGCAGAGTAGAACTGCACATAGGGTTTTCAAGGCTGTACTCTTTATGGAAGCAACCTGCTACATCTTTCTCCTGCAGAGTGGCTGGTGGGCTTTAATGGGTGGTGGTTAGTAGCTGAGTGCTTAACCACTGTGACACAGGGCTCTTGACACATTTGAAAAATTCCTGAATCTCCTATGTTAAAACCATGTATGTCATTTCTTGCCTAATTGGTAATTCCAGTTATAAATTAGGTCAGACCAAGGCAAATTAACCCATAGTTCGCATCTTTTCTCAGAATGGAAGAACTTGACACAAAGCTACATTCAAAGCTAGTACTGACAGAATGTTTGATTTACACCATGAGCCTTAGATAAAGTTTTCTGAGGGTGTTCTAATAAGAGAAATTGATGAATAATTCTAACACTTTTTCTGCTCTTTCTTTTTCTGTTTTTACAAAACACCCCTTCTGGAAATAATTACTATTAATGCTGTCAAGGGAATTGGGGTCTGGAGGTTCTGAAACTGATTCATACATATCTGGGCTTTGCATTTCCTTGTTAGCTATAGCCCCTTGCAGTACAAATGGAAAGAAGCACTTGGGGAAGTACATCAACTTTCCTAGGAGACGAGGTGTGTGCTCCTGGCCATTCCCACAGAATTCAGTGCATGCTGTCTGCTCTACTGAGCAGTGCAGGGGCACCCGATGCTTAGCCCATTTTATTGTTACCATTCATCCTAATTCTTCCCTCCAAAAACATGGGTTTTATCTTAGTTAAATCATGTCAAAGTGCTTAAAAACACAAATTCAGCATCCTCACAAGTGCTTTGTCCTCTCCTTTTTTCAAAAATGGCTGAGGAATCATCTCAGATTTAACAAATAAAGGAAAAAAATACCCAATTTCACTACTTTTAGGAGAAAAAGATGAAATTATTTTGTTCTGCACCTGATGTGTTGAAAGTAAAATGGAGGTTTCTAACTAAAAATGAGCTGAAAGAAAATTCCTTTCATGAGTATGAAAAAATTCAGAACTGATAGTAAAATATTTTCTGGATATATGAAAGTTACAAGCTGATTTTTTTTTCTCCACGTAAAATTAAACAATCACCTTAAAAGTTTTTCAATTTTACATATACCTGAGGTAAATACATTCCTTGGAGAGAATAATCATGAGAGAAAGAAGGGCTGTGTATGCACAGGGAGCACTTCAGGGGGCAGGAGTGCACGGAGGGATGGAGACAGGGAAGAGGTGACTATTGGGAAGAGGTGGGAGGGGAACTTTGCATTGGGGTAAATTGTAGTCAATGTCATGAGACAAAGTGTATGTGAACTGCTGTATGGAAAGTGAATTTGCCCTGTAAACTTTCACCCAAATCACAATTAAAAAAAAAAAAGTTTCAATTTTAAACACCACTGAAGTGAAAGAAGCTTCACTTGTATCAAGACATGATATACTTATCTTTTCTGTATACTATTGAGGCATTCATCATTATATGACAGGAAATATTTATTACCGATATATTGGGTTCATAACACTAAATAAAGTTATTTTACAGTCTCCATTGTGAATTATGGGACTTGCAAAACCCATGCAACATAGGCTGTTATGGCGGGGCTGCTGAAGACCACTGGCCTTATGGGATTGGCTGTATATGAGAGTCCACATGAGAGGCTAAGAATATTATAAACAAAGATCCTTGATATTCTTGAGCAAACTCCTAAAAATGCTGTATATAGAAAGTATACAGAAGAGATTACAAATGAGAAGCCTGAGTTTGATTAAAGTGGAACCAGATGTTAAAAAATTAGGAGATCAACTTCAGGGTGGACAAATTGAAGAAGAGATTTTTCAGGCAGAAAATGAACTAATTCTGGCAAGGAAAATGATACAGTGGAAACCGTGGGAGTCTTTAGTGGACGAACCTCCTGCCAATCAGAAGAAATGGCCAATATAATCATCCTTAAATGACTTTAGTATGTTGATGGGAAAATTATGTGATTAAATGTTCTATTGAAAAAAAAATCAATATATTGGAGAAGAGATCTGATATTAAAAATTTAATTTTTGTCAAACTTCCCTACTTAGAGTACCTGAACAGATGCATATTATGTACATACTTGAAACTATAAAAGTATTTCCGTTTCAAATATTATTGTAATCAGAGAATGCAGAGATTGTAAACTATCATTATGCTTTATATATATTCGCTCAAATTTATTTAATTCCTTGAATACTTCAGAGTATATTTATGTAATGCATTCATTAAGGATTCTCTGATTTACCATTATAGGGTCCTCCTTCTTCTAGATACTGGGGAAAATAATACAAGAGGGAACAGTGGAAAATAAAACTAGGAACATAGGATAAAGCTATCCACTGAAGTTCATACATGTTATCAGGAATGGCAGCTTCATCCCTTAATATAGACTAATATTGCTGAATTCCAGAAAAACTGGAATTAGACATTTGAATCTAGGAAAATATATTAAAATATATATTAAATATTTTAAAATATATTATATTTGAAGTACAGTGATAGGTAGAACTGTGGTCACTTAGAATAAAGGAAAGGTGAAAAGAGATGTGTTTTAGGATTATCTGATGAGGGGATTCTTAGTTTGTGCATATCTCTCTTAATGGAGTCTTCACTTTGCAATAATTTTTTTATATATAGTTCTGCCTCCACTCCTAGTTGGTGAGGTTTTTAAGTGCAAGGAACATTTCATTTATCATTGTACTTTCCAGAATAGAATTTGGCACCTGATATCCACTGTGTACTCAGTAAATGTTTGTCACCTGCATGAACATAAATGTGGGAGAAGAAGTCTTGTCACTACCTGACACAGAGAAGCTCATCAAATATTCCTTGTAGGAATTAATGTATATGAACAGATGAATAAAGAATGAATGAGTGAGATATAATCAGCTCAGTAAGAGAATAAAATACATGAAGAAGAGAAAACGGCAAAGTCAGAACTTTGGAAAGTACTAGAAGTAATAAAGGAGCTCTGGTAGCATAGTGGCTAAGACACTTGACTGCTAACCAGAAGGCTGGTGGTTCAAATCCACCAGCCACTCCTCGGAAGGAAGATGGGGCAATCTACTTCCGTAGTGATACTGCCTCGGAAACCCAAGGAGGGGTCGCTATGAGTTGGGTCTGACTCGACGGCACATAACAACAACAACAACAGAATTAATAAGCTAAAGGAAGAAAATTAATCAGTGATAGCTTTGAAAAGTAATAGGTAAAGGGAAAAGAAAGACAATGGAGTGTCACAAATAATAATTATGTTTTACAGTTTTGTTTCCAAAGCACTTTCACATTATTTCATTTAAATTCTGACAACAGCCATGAAAGGCAGGGAAAGAAGGTATTACTGTGCTTGTTTTTTGCAGATAAAGAAGCTGAGGGTCAGAAAGGTTAAGTGTGTTGGAGGAGAGCATTTCAAACAGGAAAATATATTTAACTTTGTCAAATGCAGAAAAGAGATTAACGACTAAAAAGAAGTCAACGCATTGGTATACAGGTCACTGGAGCCTGTGGTAAGTGAGGCTCATAGGAAGGATGTATAAAAGTGGTTATGGAGCTCTACGGTTTTAGAGAGGTTGCAGATGAATAAGGTAGAGCCCATCAGTATCAGGAAGGGACAAGATTCAGAGTAGCCTAGCGACTCCTCCTTGGGTTTCCAAGGCAGTATCACTACAGAAGTAGATTGCCCAGTCTTCCTTCTGAGGAGTGGCTGGTGGGTTTGAACCACCAGCTTTCTGGTTAGCAGTCATGTGCCTTAGGCACTATGCCACCAGAGCTCCTAAGAGGAGGAAGAACATGAATATCTTCTTTTTTTACATGACTGGGCAAAGTGCTTTCTATAAACCGATTTTCATCAGGCCATACATGCACATAAAACTGTTCAGACTTTAAAATTATTTAAATTATTTTGTTGTTGTTGTTGTTGTTATGTGCCGTCAAGTCGGACCTGACTCATAGCAACCCCTCCTTGGGTTTCCGAGGCAGTATCACTACGGAAGTTGATTGCCCAACCTTCCTTCCGAGGAGTGGCTGGTGGGTTTGAACCACCAGCCTTCTGGTTAGCAGTCAGATGCCTTAAGCACTACACCACCAGAGCTCCTTATTTTAATAATTTTAAAATTATTAAAATTATTATTTCAAATTATTACTTTGAGATTTTAAGCACCATTTGGGTAAAGTCCTTCTAACAGATAATTATTCCCCTTCTTCCATCTCTTTCCTTTATGTTTTTCATTCAAAAAATGGTGCTGAGAATATTTCAACAAAGTACAGTCATGGATGCTATTTTAGCATTACAACTCTTCCAGCTCCCCTCTCACTTGGAAAGCAATTCCTTTTTCATATAAACATAATAGGGCCTTGGTAAAGCAGAAAGGACACCTGAGGGCGCAGTGGTTAAGCGCTCAGCTGCTAACTGGCAAGGTTGGCAATCTGAACCCCCAGCCATTCCAAGGGAGAAAGGTGTGGCAGTCTGCTCTCATAAAGATTACACTCTTGGAAACCCTATGGGGCAGCACTACTCAGTCCCTATTGGGTTGCTATGACTCAGAATCAAAGGCAACAGGGGTTTTTTGGTGTGGAACAGGAAAGCAGGTAATGCTATTCAGGAATAATTTTTCCAGGAGGTTTGCTATTTTAAATCATAAAGGGAGAAAAAGAAAATGGAGGGAAGAACTTTTCTTGACTTCTCTAAATGCATGTGTGGCAGCACATAGAGAGACAAGTAAATTCTGGAATTAGACATACAAATTCTGGAATATATTTATTTAATAAACACTAAAACAGCAAAAATATTTTACTTCATATTTTAAATACTGTTAAACTTCTCACTCTTCCCAGACACACGCAAACACACTCACACACACACACACCCCTAGCAGAGAAATCTACCAAAATCACATCTCAGATTGCAAAAGCTGTTTTCTATCATCTTCTGAGTCACATATAATTAGGTTTGCTTAGGAAAATATACATTTTTCTTAATATCAGGGTTGTCAGTTGTGTAATGTAAATTTACATGAGTAAGCTATTTTTTCATAGTTAAGTCATCAACAGAATTACTAGTTAAGTATGATTCAACATTTTACCCCATTTTTGGTGATGTGCAGAGTAGAAAGAACAATATGATTTTTTTTTCAGATAATAAAATGTTCTTTACACATTGCTCTTTTTTCCCCCTGAACCCAATTAATGAATGAACAAACCACACTGTGACTGTGTCTACATATCATATAAACAGCTAGATGAAAAGTGACAAATTCAGGCCATCATCCAGCTATTTGAAAACATTTATCTTGATGACATTAAACATCTGGATGTTTCCAAATACCAAGATGTTTGATGTCCTGTAGATAAAACAGCCTCATGACTGGCTGATTTTTTTTACTTATATGTTATATAAAAATGCACGTTGGTATGCTTATATCCCTTTCCATTTCAGACATAAAATTATTGATATAGGAGGAAATCACAGACAAGAATCATTGTTTAGATGTCTTTGTTATTGTTGCTCATAATGAATCTCTGACTTGGAGAAATGCCTTTTCTTTTCCTCTCAGCAAACAGGAGACGTGATAGCCATTTTACTAGTGTGAATTCAAGGATACATCATGTGCAAAATGAAGCCACTTCAAATTTTGTCTATAATGGCCCACAAAACACTGTGTGTGAAAAGTATAGCACAAAGTAGTCTTAATTGTTTGACTTAATATTCAATTGAAATGCTATAAAAAAAACCTTGCCTTCTCCCATTATGTTTTTCTTAAAGGCATTTTTGCCTTTAAGTTCTTCCTTAGCATGTCCATTTATGCCATCCAAATAAATGACAGGAGCTCAAACTTTCAAATTTGATAATGTTGATATTTTTAATGATGTTTTGAAATGGAGATAGTAAAACATATTACTTATATTTTTCCCTACTCATTAGATCTTTATCAGTCTGAATCATTGAAGACTGACTACTACAACTTCTCAGCCACATTTTCTTGCTCTATTCTAATTGGAGAAAAAAATATATATTGGAAACAATGCACCACTATTTTAAAATAGACTACATATTTTGATTATCAACTTGAAAAAAGAGACTGATATTCTTTTCAATTCTCACCACTTTAAAAATAATTCTGCATAGGCATTAAATATCAATCTTAAGCCTTTTTAAATAAAGATTGCTTGCATTCCATACTAGAAGACAGAAATTGATGTTAAAGTGAAAAACAATCCCTGAAAGCTGGAAACTATTATGGCATTAAAATAAGACAATTGCATAACACATTTCAGCTTCCAGGCACTCTACCTTTAGGATCACTCAGCACTGAACCAAAGGCACTGATGACCACATCAGCTTTAAGTTGGACTATCTGATCTTCATCTTCAGTCCATGTTCCAGTTTCATCTTGCTCTGTCCGAACAAACTGCATAGCAACAATTCTCCCACCTTTTACTATAACCTTCCGCGGGGAAAGAAAAGGCATGAATTCACACTTTTCTTCCTTAGCAAGCTCCATCTAAAACAAAAAAGAACAGGAAAAAAACTTGTTTCTTTTCCAGATAGTATTTGATTTTTAACTCAATTATACATACTACAACTTATGACGCTTAGATCAACATAAAGATTTTTCTTTTACCAAAGCTGAGATTCAGTTATTAGCTATTTACATTCTCTAAATCATGGGCATAGGGGGGTCTTGAAGATTGGAGCTGTGATGAGGAAGTTTATAATCATGGCATCACAAGATATTTCTCAAGTTTTTCAAGGCATTTCATGTCCCGTAGTTAGTTCAGATTTGTTGCGGTTTGGGGCTACAGTAGTCTCATCTTTTTATGCTCTCATTTCTGTAAATTGAAGTTATCTTTTGGATCATGCCATATATGAAAATAAATACATCTGTTTATTACTTGGCTGCATATATTTAAGCTGGAAAAAAGTCAATAAAGTGGGCGAGCCAATCTGTGCTAGTACACAATTAGAATGGGAAGTAGGAGAAAAGAAAGCTAGAGAAACTCTGTGGAACTAAGAAATTAAAAAAAGAAAAAAGTATTCTTCTTTTTGTAAAAGCACAGAAGCAAGTATTGTAAATAAAATTTTAAGAACGAGAAATAAGTACGTTCCTCCTCAGAAATTCTCAGCCCTTCCACATCTCTTACATAATTCATTCCTTCATAAAGTCCAGAAGCCCTGGCTTTTGTTTGTTTTAATACTAATAATGGGGTGCCGATTTTTCCAGTCACTGACTTTGGGAATACCTTTGTCAATGTAATCCTAATGTAAATACCTCAGACTAGTATGCTGAGTATTCTTTTTTAAAATGCAAAAATGTCATTCTCACTGACTCATTGCCATAGAGTCGGTTCTGACTCATAGTGACCCTTGGGTTTCTGAGGCAGTAGCTCTACGGAAGTAGATTGCCCAGAAAGCCACAATGACATATGATTGCACCCCAGTAGGACAGCTATGATCAAAACAACAGGGGAATAAAAACAAGCATTGGCAAGGATGTGGAGAAATTGTATTGCTCATTCATTGCTGATGGGAATGTAAAACTGTGCAGCCAACTACTGAAAATATTTAAGAGGTTCCTCTAAATAGTAAACACAGAATTACCATATGATTCAGCAATTCCACTCCTAGATATATACTCAAAAGAAGTGAAAGCAGGAAAACAGAGATTTTGCACAACAATAATCACTGCAGCACTATTCACAATAGCCAAAAGGTGGTGGCAACCAAAATGTCCATCAACAGATGAATGAATAAACAAAATGTAGTATATGCTTACAATGGAACCTCGGAAGGAAGGTTGGGCCAATCCTACTTCCGTAGTGATACTGCCTCGGAAACCCAAGGAGGGGTCGCTATGAGTCGGGTCGACTCGACGGCACATAACAACAACAACAACAAAGAGAAATGAAGTCCTGATCAATGTTGCGCATGGAAGAACCTTGAAAATATTACATGGGTTAAAAAAAAAGTGAGTCAAAAAAGGGCAACTATTGTTAAGATTCCACTTTTATTAAATATATAGTATAGACGAATATGGAGAAAACAGGTTTCAGCAGAACTTCTTGTCGAAGACAGACTAGGAAGAAAGGTCTTGTGATCTACTTCTGAAAATCAGCCAAAGAAAACCCAATGGATCACAATGGTCTAAACCAATCATGGGATGGTGCAGGACCGGGCAGTGCTTCGTGTCATGGTGCATGGGGTCGCCATGAATTGCAGTCAGACAGGCCTACTACATGGAAGTTAACAACAATATAGAGGACAAGTTTGTTAGTGATTACCACGTATGGGAGGGAAGGTGAAAAGAGGGAGTCACTGCTTATGAGTTTCTGTTAAGTGAGATGGAAAAGTTTGGAAACAGTGGTGATGGGCATGTAACATAATAAAATGTAACTAATGTCATTGTGATGTGCATGTAAAAAATGTTGAAATGGCAAATAGATAGATAGTTAAAACAAAAAAAAAAAAAGTAAAAAAAGTTGATCGTACTGAAGAGAGTGAGGGTGTCTGCTCTCGTTTCATTCCTCCCCTGTGGTAGCCAGGATGGATTCTCAGTAGGGACTACTGACAAGTGGGGTTGAAGAAGATGGGTATGTACAGCTATTGTAAATATGAGTTTTCAAACACATGGCTACACCAAGGTGAAAAACCTGAGATATAAAGTAATTTTTTCAATGTCATAAGCAAGCCATGGACATATTTCTCTGCATTTTATTCTTAACTGTGGCATGCATCAGAATCATCAGTAGGGCTTGTTACAACACAGTCTGCATGAGCTCACCTTCAGAGCTGCTAATTCCACATTGCTTGATGTGGGACCCAAGGACTTTCTAACAAATCCCCAGGTGATGCTACGCTGCTGGAACAGGGACAACATTTTGTGAACCACCATCATGTGAGACTTTGGCTGACTGCCTCTAAATTTGGTTGGTCTGAACCATGTGTTTTCAAAAGGAATAGTATCTTTTCCCAACTGAGGTGGAAGGGGGAGTGTTAAACTTCTTGGGGAGGAAAGATCTTAGATAATGTAATGATTTATGGTTTGCCAAAGAGCCACAGTACATAAATAGATATAGTACATAAACAGATACATAGAATATATGTATTATTAAAATTACAAGGGAGTGGTATTAGGAAAAGTATTTAAAATGACTCCCTAAAGGGACAGTAATGACAAAAAGAACAGGTGGTGTACTGGTTAAAGCATTTGGCTGCTAACCAAAAGGGCGACGGTTCAAACCTACCAGCTGCTCTGCAGAAAAAAGATGAGGCATTTTGCTTCTGTAAAAATTTACAGCCTTGGAAACCCAATGGGGGTCACTACGAGTTGGAAGGGACTTGATGGCAATGAGTTTGGGTGTTTTTGTTTTTGTTTTTGTTTTTCCTCCTGCTGCTGCTGATTTGGGATAGGCTCCTCATATATAAAATGGGGATGCTGTTGTTATTAGCTGCCATCACGTCAGCCTCCCACTCAGGAAACCCAGGCACAATGGGTGGAATCACTGTGATCCACTGGATTTGCACTGGCTCTTTTTGGGAAGAAGATAGCGAGGCAATTCAAAAAATGCCAAAAATCTAAAGCAGAACTTAACATATGTTGTTGTTGTTGTTGTTATGTGCTGTCGTTTCCGACTCATAGCGACCCCTCCTTGGGTTTCCGAGGCAGTATCACTACAGAAGTACATTGCCCCATCTTCCTTCCGAGGAGTGGCTGGTGAGTTTGAACCATCAGCCTTCTGGTTAGCAGTCAAGTGCCTTGGGCACTATGACACCAGAGCTCCTAACTTAACATATAGAAGGTGCAAATAAACACTATTTATTTGTAGTTGCTGTTCTTTGAATTTACCTTTTTTCCCAAGCATTCTTCAGTTTTCAGTATCACTTAGCAATGAGGTTGTGATTTCAACAGAGAGGTGTGCCAAAAACAAAAGTCAAAATAAGGAAAGGCCTAAAACAAACCTTAGACTCCTCTTTAGTTTTCTACAAAATGAAAGTCTGATTTACGGAGGGCAAACTATTCTTTAAGTAAGTCAAATTACTAAATAGGGATTCAGCATGTAAGATATGTTTTGTATATCACTTTTGTCATGTTTACGTAATGTTGTTGTTGTTGTTATGTGCCGTCGAGTCAAACCCGACTCATAGCGACCCCTCCTTGGGTTTCCAAGGCAGTATCACTACAGAAGTAGGATTGCCCAACCTTCCTTCCGAGGAGTGGCTGGTGGGTTTGAACCACCAGCCGTCTGGTTAGCAGGCAAGTGTCTTAGCCACTATGCTACCAGAGCTCCCTTATGTAATGTAGCACCTTATAATCCATCAATAGAAAGCAGTTTGTTGTGTTTCAAAAATGTCAAGTGATGCTAAATTTTAATGATAATGCCAAACTTGATTGAATAACAATGCCAAATGTTTATGGTGAGAATAAATCAATACATGATGTGTATTTATATGGAGGGCAGAATATCTCACTGATGTATTTAGGTCTGTTCTGCCCCATTCTGCTTTTCTTGCTTGTTAACACTTAAGCAGTATTTATCATTATACACAGATAATCTCTTATCCTTTTTGGCAAATATAATTAAATTTAGAAACAGCAAGTGGACACTACTAACAAATCAGACTTTTAAGAATTTAAAATAGAAAACACCAATAATTTAATGCCTGAGTATGCTTTACATATTCTTTCATAGCTGATGAATCACCATGGATTTGACTTTTGAAAGCCTAAAATCATGTACCATATAAACGTTTAGAAAAAAAATGTGTCTAACATACCCTCAGCTCATCATAATTTTCCATATGCACCATTGTTGGTAACTCACAAACTCACATTTAGGTATTCTCCTCAACTACCTAGCACAGAACTCAGATGGTATGGATCTGAATTTCTACTTTTGAAATTTTAGTGTTGCTCTTCACTCTCTCAAATATATAGGATTAGGTCATTGGGCAGACATGGCATAAATCACACCATGTCTTGCTATTTTGCTATTATATAGCTAGACTTGCCATTCCACAATAGAAGGAGACATAAGAAGATGTCATTTGAACATATATGTGTGTGTGTATGTGTTTGTATACACACACATATTTGGGAAGTATTCATATGATATTGGAGAAAAAATGGAACTGAGATGATAAAAAAAATAGCTTGAAAATAAGAGAAATATTAGGAAAAATGAGAATACAGGGTAAGTGAAGTCATATTGCAAATGAAATGTTTTTGAATTATTCATGGACTAGTCAGGGATTAGGAGCTCTAGTGGTGTAGTGCCTAAGGCATTTGACTGCGAACCAGAAGGCTTGTGTTGAACCCACCAGCCACTCCTGGGAAGGAAGATAGGGCAATCTACCTCCATAGAGACACCACCTCAGAAACACAAGGAGGGCTCACTATGAGTCCAATTGACTCAATGGCAGCGAGTTTTTTTTTAGTTAGGGATTTACTTTCAGTATTTAAGAAATCTGTCGCCTCGGAAGGAAGGTTGGGCAATCTACTTCCGT